CAGCTAATATTTTCTCATGATTACGGAATGAAACAGTGAGTATCCAGTGCTGACATGACCACAGACACACAGGGTGTGAGTAACGTAGATCTGTTATTAAACATGGGAATGATGAGCAGCATAATGTATTACCTGTATTTCTCAAAACAGATCAAAGACTAGTGTAAGCAAGAGGAGCTCCACTTGGACACTCTGTCCATTTGCACAATAATGTCCAGCTGGTTTTATGGAGTTGAACTCCCTGTCAGTTGAATGGGCAGCAGATTGATGACAACTTGATGATGATGGTGGAGTAGGCAGCTGTAATTATTATTGTCAACAGGGAAGTGTTCATCACTCTGATAATATAATTATTGGTTAGAAATTCCAGCCCCTCGTCCTCACGGTGGGAACTGGTCAGTGTGAGCTACAGTCATGTGCAGTCCATGTCAACAGGGCGCACTAGGACTTATTTAGACACTGGTAGGGACAGGTAAACATTGTACCTATTATTTTTCTAGACAATTTGGGAAAGCAATAGAAAAGACACAGAGAATGTTAATTTTATATAGTTAAAATAATTGAATTTAATGAAGGTCATTTTGTTAAAATTGTATAACACACCTGTGAGGCCTCATTTAAAATTATGTCCAGTTTCGTTTAGACTATGGTCGTTTTGTACAATATTGAAGATACAAGCAGATTAATGCTCTGCAATTAGTCCGGAGAAGAGTAAGCAGATAGAGCCTTGGGCTCAAAAGAAATGTCTAATACTGAGGGTTCAAAGAACTGAACCTGTCAGATTTTATAAGAGTGTCCGATTCGAGATTATAGAATCCTAAAGACACTGGGGCACTCATCCGAGTCACCAGAATCACTATGAAAAGTGATATACACTGTGAAGGACATGTGTTGAAACTACAGAGAAGTGCTAAGAACAGGAGGCCCTTCTTTACACAAAAGGTTGTTAGAGTCAGGAACAAGCAGCCTAGCCATGTGGGTGATACTGACACACTGGTGTCTTTCAGGAAAAACACAGCCTGAGATCCTTGGATTAGTTGGTTAGTAACTACCAAACTGTCCAGAAAGGCTCAATGACGTCCATCAGTGACTGGTTAAGCTGTCTGAATCTGGAACAGTACTTGGATTACTGGATTTCAAATGATCACATTCTGGTTGTACTGAATTCCTGTTGGTTTTACAAGATCTGTGATTTAAATTGGACTATAGAAGGACTTAATATGTGATTTAATTGAATATATGATGTGAACTTGTGAAGGATCGGAGTAGAAAGGGATGAGTAGATCCCAGGTAAAATGTATTACTGATTTATCACTCAGATGTGCAGTATCAGCAGCAACATGACCAATGTGTGACTTCATCTGACCAGCTCTGCCTCTCCAGTAGAAACGTGACTCCAGGCTCTCTGAGCTGTTCCAGTAAGAAAAATCAGCAGAAACACCCTGAAGTTCAGGCTCATGTTCACACACTGGGACAGTGTGCTGCCCCCTATAGGCTGTTTCCTTCAGGCCATGAAGAGGGAAAGGGGCTGTGAGGGCTGAGCAGCAGAGAGACACATCTTAATCTTGCAGAACGAGAGAGATTCTACAAATTCAAAACAGAATAAGCTTCTTATGTAAACCTTTCCGTGCCAAAACAATCTCTTCATTTTACAAAGGGCTACTCATTCCACATTCTGTATTCTGTTTTCCACTGAAAATCATCACATCTCCAGAACCCAGTGAAGCACATTCTGTACTCTAGCTCACTGTGTTACTCCCTCTCTCTGTTTTTCATGAGTTCCCTGTCGGTATCATTCTCATTTTTGTTAGTGAGCTCAGCTTCTGTCAGTTCAAGGTCAGGAGTTTGTGTCTGTGCTGTTCACAGGGTCAAGCTGGAGAGACCACAGTCATCAGTGCCCAGCTGTTTGTCCATGAAGAGTGACGGGTCAATGAATCAACCAGTAGAGTTCAGAGAAGGACCCATCGCCTCTGACCCAAGGTGAGGTCACTATTGTGTATTGAGTGTATCTATCTGTTGGTCATAAGATAAGATTGTGTGAACTGGATCACGTCTCACTTTCAGTACTTTTATTTTCTGTGAAAAGTTAAGATGAATAAAGACTAGACGGCTGAAAACAAAAACAAATTTCTGCAACTAGTATTTTCTACTGACTAAAGGATGAAAGACTGTGTATCCACTCCAGACACGATCACGGAAACACAGGGGAAGGATTCGTGAGCTGTAATTGAACATGGGAGTGAAGAGCAGCAGAATATAGAACATGAATTTCTCAAAACGGATCAAACAGTGGAGTGGGGGAGAGGAGCTCCAATAGACACTTTGTCATTTACACAAAAATGTGATCCTTGTTTTATGGAGTTGAGCTCCATGTCAGTTGTGTAGGCATCAGATTGATGACATCTTGATGATGATGGTGGATTTGGCAGCTGTAATTATTATTGTCAATAGGGGTGTGTCCATTATTCTGATATAGTAATTGTGGATTTAGAAAGTCCAGCCCCTCCAGCAGTCTGAGTCAGGGTGACGTGCACTAGGAGACAGACACTGGTAGAAGTAGAAAAACACTTGATTCCTGCGTAACATAGAACAATATTATTTGTTGCTAGACGATTTGGGAAAACAAAAAAGACACGCAGAATGTAAGGATACAGTATACAGTTAAAAGAATAGAATTAATTGAAAGACATTTTGTTAAAGTTGTACAACACACAGTGAGGCATCATTTACAACTGTGTACACTGTTGTTTAGACCTTAGTTATTGTGTATAAAGTTTTGGTGACAAACAGATTACTGCTCAGCAATTAGTCCAGAGGAGAATAACTAGATACAGCCTTGGGCTCAAAAAGATATCAAGCACTGGATCAAGCACAAATGTTTAACTCTGAGGGCTAAAAGAACTGTACCTGTGCAATCCTGTAAGAGTGTTATTGACTATTCAGCTGAATAACGTTAGGAGTTTGTACCTGTGCTGTTCACAGAGTCAAGCTGGATAGACAAGGGTCACCAATGTCCAGCTGTGTGTCCATAAAGAGTGACGGCTCAATGAATCCACTAATAGAGTTCAGAGATGGACCCATCGCCTCTGACCCCAGGTGAGGTCACTGTTGTCCATTGAGTATATCTGTCAGCTGGCCATGAGATATGATTATGTGAACTGCATCATCTTTCACTTTCTTACATTCTTAGTTTTTATAAAAGTGTAAGAGAATAAAGACGTTCTGACTAAAATAATGTTGAATACCAAAGTCTCTAGCTACAACCGTATTTTCCCATGACTAAGGGATGAAAGATTGTCTGTGCACTACAGACATAATGAGAAACACACACAGGTAGTGGGTAACAGAAGGCTGTAATTGAGCACAGGAGTGATTAAGGAGCAGAATAAAGGATCTGGATTACTCAAAAGATATCTGGCTCTTGAAGTTGTCTTCACATCATGTGTAACAGAGGCCGAGAGCTGCAGATCTAGCTCCCAGCTGTGTGTCCATGAAGACTGACCGTTCAACAGATCAACCACCAGAGTGTGGAAGAGGAGCTCCATTAGGACACTCTGTCCATTTACACCATAATGTGGACCTTGTTTTATTAAGCTGAATTCCCTGTCAGTTTAATTGGCAACAGATTGATGACAACCTGATGATGGTGGTGGTGGTGGCAGCTGTAATTATTATTGTCAATGTGTCACATTGTTATTGTACTTATTGGATTACAAAGTTCAGCCCCTTGTCAGTGGCTAGTTAGGGAGTCCATTAGGCATGTGGGCCCAGAGACAACAGGGTGAAGTACAGAAATTCTTCAATCCTGGAGTGTCTTTTGTTACCATAATGGCCTATTAAGACTCCTGCACACTCAGCACACAGTGCAAGACAGTGCAGGAGGAAGAAATGAACAACCTGGGATATCTCAGTGTCTGTACTGGTAAATGAAGGCTACAGCAGAATGAGACTTCAAATCATAATGGGCTCCATGCCACTGGTTTGAGGTCTCATTCAGTCAAGATGTGTGCAGGCTGGTCTGCAGTGGTTTCTCCACAATAAAGCATCACACACAGGCATCTCCCATCCCCAGCATGTCTTCAAGGGCATGTGGAGACCAGATAATTGCCACAGGAGCAGGACAGTGATATCTGGGAGCTCCTGGTCATGAATTGCCATGAAGGCAGCTGGTACAAGAGGGCTGTCAGACACTGTGTATTGTGCAGGTTCACTTCAGCAGCTCTATCTGAGAATGAGCAGCACTGTTCAGGATCAGCTGTTGTTTCATCGCTTCAGACTGGACAGCTGTGTCCAGAGAGTCTGAACCCAGGAGAAGCTGGAAAGCTCTAAATAATAAAAAATAGCTGAACTTGTTAGTTTTCCAGATTAAATGATCTGGTGCTGTTGTTTTAAAGAAATTGATATAACATTCAATTTTAAATTAAAATAAAATAAAAAAAATAAAATTTAAAGTTTTTAAAAATTCACAGAAGTAAACATAATTTCAGAGGCAAAACCATATATATCTCTGAGAGGACAGTTCACATCTTAGAATAATGATTTAGGAAAAACATACATTCCTATTAAACATGTAACAGCAACAGAATGACTTTTTTTAACTTGAGGGTGTGTATCATCTTGTCCTGAGTTCTGTATGTCTTTCCTGTCTTGAACTCTGTATTTCCTCTCTTTCTTTTCCTGGCATGAATTCTTGTGCCTGTATTTTGTTTGTGTAAGGAGTAGTATAGAGGGATTCTGCATGACTTTTGTGACTCTCTGTCTCTGAGTTAAAGGCACAATGTGAAGAATCCTCATTATTTTGTTTGTCCACAGATCTGCTGGCCATGGAAATGTGATTTTTGCACTCACAAGAAGATCAGAGCTGTGAAATACTGCCATATCTGCCCAGCATCTTATTGTGAGACACATGTTCGACAGCACTACACAGTCCCAGCCCTGCAGAAACACAGACTGGTGGACATCAGTGGAGACCAGGAGCCCAGTCTGTGTCAGCAGCACCACAGAGCTCTTGAGCTGTTCTGTAAGACTGATCAGACTCTCATCTGCAGTCTGTGTTCAGTGCAGGAACACAGGGGCCATGACACCTTTTTTATGTCAGAACAGGTAATGACACAGGTAAGAGACTTCATTCACACTCTCTAAAATCAGACCAGTGCTGAATATTGACACTCTCTTCACCAGCTGATTCACAGTGAACCTGTAAGGGTTGAGTGACTCTGTGTGTCTCTGTGCTGTGCCATCTGTTCCCTGTGCTCACAGACAGAGATCTGTAGTGATCTGTGTGGCTGAATTAATACACACTCATCACTGAGGGCAGCTCATTGACTGTGTGCTATATTATTTCACATGTACTATACAGTGTAATACATCAGTGACCACAACTCAGTATCTCAGTACAGAAACACTGATGGATGGTCTTTTATTCTTACTGTGGAACTGTTATCACTATAGGTGCTGTCATTGTGTTTCTATGAAAGCTTCAGGTCTCTTGATTCCTTTAAAATCTGCCAATTCTCTACTCTGTATGTTCAGGATGTGAGGAGGGCTGTGACAGGTGAACCTGAGGATTTCTGTACAGGAGGATTCCAGACTGACCAAACAGGTTAGTGTATGAGAGTGTCTCTCAGGAGAAGGACAGACCAGGTCAGTGTGTACGTATGAGTGTGCTTTGGCAACTGGAATCAATTAAACATAATAATTTAAAGTCTTACACATGGATTTCTAAATATACAGTAAACACTTTGTTGATACAACACTAAAACATACACAACAAACTAACAAGAGTAAAAGAATATATTTGTGAATCAATCTGCTGTAATATGAATTGTTGATCCTTCACTCAGGGATTAAAGATGAGCAAATAACTATTATTATTGTCTATATCGTAGGTTATATGTGTAGTGTGCTCTCTGAAGGCACCAGTTCTGTAGGGTTTGGGCATTTACTGGGACAATTATTAATTGTAGCAGTAAATCACAAAATTGATTCTTTTGATGGCTTTAGAATCCAACCATGCGATATAACTCAAACAACGCACACACACGTACTAATACAC